CAGGTTTAACATACACATACACGATGCTTATAAAATCCAGGTTTTTACCTGGAGTATATATACTAATTTCCGAGACAGGACCACCTGTCTGGCTTAGTAGATCGCAGCACGATAAAATATTTGCTGCATTGAGAAATCGTAAGTTGACAATGTTCGTCCCCTTGACATTGCTTACTTAATTGCATGAGTTGGCGTTTTCAGCTAATTATAACCGCGTCCCAGTTTGGAGTAAATAACACCTTACAAAATATTACTTTGGCCCTATTTTAAGTCGGTCGGATCCAGGGAAATACGCCGGTGAATTGTGAGGCAAACGTGCTGGATTTTGATGTAGTTAAAATTCAGCTTGAACAGCCCAGTTCGCGAAAGAACTTTGACCTCAAATTTGTCTACGGTAAACGCGTTCCAAGTCAGTTGGCATGTCATCATTTGGTCGAAGTGTCTGATGTCGATGTGCGGCTGTGGTAACGGTTAACGGTGCGGTAAGTGGCATCAGCGAGCCGAGTTCAAATTCCAGCCTAGACTGTTGCGTTCACTTTCGCACTAATGTCCCGGGAAAAGCATGAATCTATCTCTTCCCGCTTTGTCCCCTATTTTTGGTTAAAAAGATCGGTTGATTAGACTCTCTGGCCTTAGGTGGTTGCTAGTCAAATAGAGGTATATTCCTGAATTCAGAATCGTGAAGAATGCAAAGGAAGGATTCATAGCATTTCGCAGATAATACAACTGGAAGCTGTGGAGAGCCATGATCAACTAAGTTCTTAAAAGTTATAGCATTTAAAAAAATGAATTGTGTCTGAATGGTGCATTTTAAAAATTATTCTATAGTATATATACGGTTTTTATTTATTAAGAGTAGCTTAGTTTGGCACAAGGATGTAAAAATGGAGCAACTAGAGAGGATCGAACTAACAATTAACGTTCTACAAGTCCAGAATGTTGACCATTAAACCACGATGGGCGCATAAAGTTATTTACTACGCTTAAGTAAGTTTGGCACAAGGCCAGAAGAATATGGCACCCATTGAGAACCAACTCACAACTTTACAATTTACAAGTCCAGCTTCCTGACCATGGTGAAGAGCCCAAGATTTTTTTTTTACTACGCTTATGCTAGTCTGTTATAAGGCCACAGTAAGGAGCACCCAGTGAGGATAGATGGGGACGCGAAACATTACCTTTGGTGCGCCAAAATAGACAAACTTAATTTAATTTTGGCACACGACCACATGTATCCAACACTCCGTAAGGAGCGACCATATTATCTGGTAAAAAGGACCCGTAAGACTGGCTCGTTAACCATTACCCCACGCTAAGCATGCACAGTCTTACTGAGTTTTTCTTTTAAATTTAGCATAGCTGGCACAAGGCTACAACATTGGAGTACTTAATAAGTATGAAACTCAATAAACAGTAGCTGCTATTGTAGCTCGTTAACCTTTACTCCTCGTTTGTGGGGAACCCAATGACGATTGAACTCACTAAAGTAGTAATGGTATGTTAAAGTAACTCATTAATCATTACCCTTCGGCGAGGGATCATATTTTATTAGCTTAGATTAGCACGGCGAAGGGCAACAAGTGTAGGACATTTGTCGAGATTGAACCCACGACATAATAATAATAATGGCCTGCAGAAAAAAAAAGCCACCAAACTCGTATATACTAAACTATTTACAAAGTTCAAAACAGTCTGGCACAAGGCTACGATTATGGAGCACCTTCGATGAATTCCTACACATGTTTCTGTAATCGCTTGCTAATCACTGCTCAGAGACAACGCGACCATTATCCAATATGTGCCTGTAATATTTTTTTTATTTTTATTTCGCAGCGAATGAAGTAAGCGATAGAAAGTTAATTTTTGGGACCATTAGAAAGAGGTGAATTTGATCCTCACTAGGTGCATTGAATGAGTGGTCTTTTAATAAATAGGAAACTTTAGTCAATTTCTCGGAATATAACTGCTTTTTGTGTATTCGATCCTGAGCAGTCGCACAAGGTAAATTTATTTTATATATAATCCGATTACAGTTTTCGAATTAAAATATAAACAAAAAAAAAACAAAAAAACAAAAAAAACAAAAACAAAAAAAACAAAAACAACCAAAAAACATTTTTTTTATCTCATCATAATGTATGTCTATAAAGTAAATGGAAAAAAAGCAGATGTAACAATAATAATAATAATAATAATAATAATAATAATAATAATAATAATAATAATATATATATATATATATATATATATATATATATATATATATATATATATATATATATATATATATATATATATATATATATATATATATATATATATATATATATATATATATATATATACACACACACATATATATAAATATATATATGTGTGTGTGTGTGTATGTGTGTGTGTATGTGTGTGTGTGTGTGTATGTATGTATATAAAAAATTAACTCACCATTCGAAGATCCCCCTTAGATTGGAGGACTGCTGAGAGGTTACCGTCCATCGCTGAGTGAAGATAGGAGAAACACTGTGTCGAGTGAAGCCAACTGGACCTCGACTGAACAATTCAGCTTAACAGCGTTTGTCGCCCAGTGAAACGGTTGCAGTTAAAATTAGCCTGGGAGTCGTGAAAGTTGAAACGAAATGGCGTGATTTACCTAATTATGTAATAAGTTTCTGTTGCTAAATCCTTTTGTCGGGTTTCACATTTTTATTCTTTTTCCTCAATTTACCTTTACCGATTTTGATATCATTTTCAAAGGAATTCTGACATTTTTTATTCATCTTTCGTTTATCATTCCATGCTTCATTACTTTTTTATTTTTCCTCTTTCATTTTTCTCATTCTTGTCATTTTTTGTTCACACTCATTTTTCTCTTCATTCTCTTCTCATTCATCTCTCTCAATCTCATATTGTTTTCTTTTAATTCTCATTCTTGTCATTTTCATTTTTCTTTTCAGTCTTTTATTTTTTCACTTTCATTCATTTCTCATTCCTACTCTCGTTATTTTTCATTCTTCTTTTCTGTCTCTTCTTTTTGTCGCTTTCATTCTTTTCTCCTTTTTTCCCTTCCTTCCTTTTTCTTCTTTTCTTTTTTTTTCCTTCGCCTTTATTCTCTTCTCATTCTTTCTCTTCCTTTTATTTTAATTTTTCGCACTCGTATCTTATTTTTCTTCTTTTTCATTCTTTTTCTCTCCTTTATTTTGTTTATTTTCATTCTGCCATTATTCTTAATTTTGCTCTCATTTTTCAAAATTCGTTCTTTTATTTTTCGTTTTCATTCTCTCTCATTCTTTTCTTCCTTCTTTTCTCGTTTTTATCTTTCTTCTTTTTTCATTCTTATCTTTAGACTATTATTTTTTTTTCATTTTTCTTCTTTTCTCTTTCTTCTATTTTTCGCTTTCATTTTCTTTTAATTCATCTACTTCTTTTAGCAGTTTTTTTTTATTTTCGTTTTCATTCTTGTTAAATCTTTCCTTCGTTTTTCATTCTTATCTCCAGAGAATATTTTATATTCATTTTCATTCTTTCTCTTACAGCTTCTCACATCCTTCCACCCCCGCCCCAGTTTCTTGTTTCATTCTTTTCTCGTTTTTCTTCTTCTTTCTCATTCTTTCCTCTAATCTTTTTTTTTATCTTTGTTTTCATTCACTTATCATTCTTCCTTTTCCTTCTTTTTTCATTCTTCTCTTCTGTCTTTTACTTTTCGTTGTTTTTATTCTCTTCTTCTTTGTTATTTTTCTTCACGTTTTTCTCTTTTCACAGTTTTATTTTATCTCATATTTTTCTAATTTCATTCTTTTCTCATGAATAGGTTTCGTTTTTTCCTAATTCTCATTTATTTATTCTTTCGTTATTCTTATAATCGATCGAACATTTATAATTTTCCAGCTATCACCATTCCTTTATTCCTTTCATTCCTTTATTCCATTATTCCATTATTCCTTTTAATTCATTGCTTCTTTTCTAAATTTCCATATTTGTCTTCTTTTTAATTGTTTATTTTCTTTTTCTTAAAACGATCTTATTTTTCTACCATCATTACCGCGTCTTTCTCTTTCTTTTTCCTCGTCTTTTCTCCCTACCTCTCATTATCTGACCTTGCCTGCTTCTCTTTCTGCAAACCAATGATACATTTCACCTTTCTTCTTCTTTCTCTTTCTTCCTCCTCTCTCCTTCGCGTCTCTCGTTCACTTTGTCTTCTATAGATTCATATGCATCTGTCCATTCCATATTCTTTGTCTTGATTGCTTTGTTTTTTACGGTTTATCAACCTTTTGCAGATTATCTAAAGTCATAAAATATTTTAGATTGTAAGAATTTTTGTGATAATAATAATTTACTGATCAGTCAGTTATGTGCCATGCATGAGACACGCTTAGGCGATCATGTACCTTTCGATACACGAGTGACGAGGCAGATTTTTTTTTTCCGCAGTAGGGTGTCATTTTTTTCTACGGTAGACCAGTTTCCATCCAAGGATATAGAACCCGGTCTGTCCTGCTATTTTACCCATAGATGGGAGGAGAATCTGAGGATTCATACCTTCCCCAAGGTTATTATCACGTAAGTGAATTTCAGTCAGTTATGTGCCATGCATGATACACGCTTAGGCGATGATTTATCTTTTGATGCATGACTGACGAGGCAGATTTTTTCCCGCATTAGGTTGCCATTTCTTTCTGCGGTAGACTAGTTGCCAGCCAAAGCTATAGAACCCGGTCTGTCCTGCTATTTACCCATAGTTAGGGGGGGGAGAAGAGGATTAATAACTTTCCTAAGGGTATTAGCACGTAAGTGAATGTAATGGATTCAACTGGAATTCGAACTCGGCTCTCCGATTTCTCAATCCGAGTCGCTAACTAATAACTGGGGTAGAAGAGGTGGATTCACACTTTTCAAAAAGGTATTTGCGCTTAATTCAATATAACGAATATAGCTGGAACTGGAACTCGTCTCTCCGATTAACAATTCAGAGCTGTTACACCACCCGCACATCCAAACTTATAGCACCTAGTATTCCTAAGCGGTCACTCATCTAAGTACTGACCAGGCTCGACGTTGCTTAACTTCGGTTATAGTAGGGGAACCGGTGTTTCAACGTGATATGGTCGCAAGCCCCTCCATGTTCTTTTTCTCACAAGATCTTTTTCTAAGTATTCCGTCTTTAGTTCAATTTTCTTTCTAGATTTTCACAAGAGCCACTCAAAACAGAGTTACTGAGTGAGGTTGTTGTATGGCCGTAAGAAGAGAAAGTAAGTGTAGATTATAAAGATATGTCGGACATATCATTACGGTTGACCCTGGACTTGAAGAAATTAAAATTGAAGTGATCAGGGAAGTATCCTCTCGGGAGTCCGTTTCACAAAGAAGAAACTGAGGGGAACTTCTTCCTTACCAATGGAATACGAATATGATTCGACTCATACGTGGTATGGCATGTCCTTGCTGGAAATGCCTGAACTGGTGGAACGTAGCGCGTCTGAACATTTGCCATGGAAATAGCGACAGAGTAGCCAGAGGATTGCGACGTTTCGTAGTGATTTCCGCTGCGTCCATTTTCTCTCCGCTGTTTCGCCCCCATCTCTCTCCCTCTCTAGCTCCCCGTCTCTCTCTTCCTCCCTTCTCTCCTCGTCTCTCTCGCGCTTTCGCTTCCCTTCTCTCTCTCTCCACGTCTCTTTCCCCCTCTATCTCCCCGTCTCTCACGCTTTCTCTTCCCTTCTCTCTTCCTCTCTATCATCCCGTCTATCTCTCTCTCTCTCTCTCAGTCTTTATCTAATCTATATTTTCCCTTCATTTTTAGTTCGATAAATCTTTCTCTATCAATGAGATCGCATCTTTATTATTGCCAACAGAAATGTGGATCTACAGAAGGATGCTGAGAATACCATGGACTGAACATATGAGTAATGAGGACGTTTTAGGTAAAATCAAAACAAAGAGGACACATATTTAGAATCAGGAAAGAGGCAATTGAAGTTTATAGGAGACATTTTAGAAAGAAGGTTTGGAGAATCTGACACTCACAAGATATATTTCAGGCAAGAGAGAGCAAGGAAAGCAATGAATCTACCTAAATTGTGTAATTGATTAGCATAACAGAGATTAGTGGAGATAACAAAGAGACAAACCTTAATTAGAGCTACAAAAGATAGAATAAGTAAATTGTCCAGCATTCACTTCCACATAGGAAGACATATATCACATAACAATTCAGTACTCTTTCTTTTGTTTTTAACAATGTTTTTCTGTCTCTTAATACATTGCTTAGCTTTTGGAATGCATCTTTGGCTACCTGTTGTGGAGATGAACACACCCCTCTAGAATATATCCTGGACTCTTCCAAATAGCATATATAAGGTCACCGAGAATCACTAGCAGAGTTAGCCTTATATCCTTACCACAGAATTCCGTAAGACTACGTCGACTCCAAACGACATTATATTTCATGATTGTCTTATCTTCATTCAATGGAATTAAGACATTATACTATCACAATACGCCTTCGGATTTCAGTATCACATTTTCCGTCCTCTGTTAAAACACTTCCCAGATATTTAAATTTACGCACTGGTTTGTGTTGTAGAGTAGCTGAACACCCCCAACAAGATGGCCTGGTCTAAGAATGTTGAAACTTCCAGCGGGATACCATCATTTGACAACACAAATTTCCAGTGTAATACCAACACTGACCGAGGATTCGGGTTTAAATAAATTTACAGTCATATACCAAGAAATGGCGACGACTCAACCTCGGATTAAATCTGCATAACAGATTGACATGTTAAAAACAAGTAAGAATTTTATTTGTTCTGTAAATTAAACATGGAGGATTTAAAAGAAGCAATGGTGGAATTCATGAAAATCCAGCAGAAACAAAATGAATAGTTGGAGAAACAACGATGTTTGGACCAGGAACGCTCTGAAAAACAAAATGAACGGTTTGAAAAAAATGTTCGAATTGTTACTGTTGAAAAAGGAAAAGGGGCAAGGCAATGTAAATTCTTTTTCTCAGGATTTGGAGATAAATTCAGTGTGGTGAATTATTGGTACAGTCTTCTGGAGGAGTGAAAAGTTAAAAAAAAACTTACTCATGGTATGTTTAAGAGCTTTTTTTCTACAAGGACTGACGGCTTCAGAAGATGACGATATTAGTGTAATGACAAAAGTACACAGGTGTAGGCTTTAAGAAAGCTTTATTCAACTGAGAAAACAATGTTCGCGTATATTGTCCTTTTATAGTCCCAGTAAAGAGAAATAGCTCCCTCAAACAGGAAAGAAACGAAACAAGGGGAGACTACTCTTGATTATTCATAATATTCTGCCCCATTTCCTTTTAGTCGTACGGGATGAATTCATTCCATTTTGTTGGGGTTCTGCTGGAACGGCATTCTGGCTTTCTGGGTCCGAAGACTCGCTTTGACTGGCTTTCTCCCTTCGTCCCGTGTTAAAAAACGAAACAAAAAACTACCGGCTCAATGAGCCATCAGGGACTCCTGAGACGATACGGACTCAGTATCCGATACATGCAGGCTTCTCCTCGTAAGCTATATCAGGTTTAGGTACATCTGCGGGTGCGAGGTCTTTCAGGGATATCGAATATTGGTTAACTTGCAACCCTTAAAAAAGAAAGTGGCCGCTGTATTCTGCCCTTACACAAAATCAAGAGGCTCTTTCGCTAAGGGATAGAGAAAGGAAAAAATAAATACGGTCGTGGAGAAAGAAAAAAGCTGACCTAGTCGAGATGAAAAAAGTGGGGTCACAGACAAACTGGGGGAGGATGGGACTCTCGACTAGAATCATAACGAAAGAAGAAACCAGAAGCAGGCCAGGAACGACACTTACCTTAACTAGGTACGCAAAAGTGATCTATCCTAAACAGAAGAGGGCTCCACCTCGATGTGACTTAGGTAGACCTAAAAAAGAAAATCAAAGCTAGTCCCGTTCATACGAACCAAGCTCGGCTCACTCACCCAACTCTCTCTGAAGTCTGTCGAAACCAACTGTTTTCTATCAATTTTAATCTTCATCTTGAGCTGGTGCTCAAAGAATTGCATCAGATCCTGATGATAAAGACAATTGCTCCGCAAGACTTCCTCCTGTCGCGTCGTCCAAATCACCATTTGGGTCGTGGCTAGCAGTGATAGAAACACAATTCGTTTCACCCCAGAATACGGGGGCAACAGTGGACAAACATGACGAAGCCACCAAGACAGCGCAAAATCGCCCGCTAGCTTCCCGTTCACCTGTACCACAGCACTGGGGGAGCGATACAGGAGGCTAATCCAGTGGCAGAAGTCGAGTTCAAATCCGGCGGCCTACAGGAAAGGTAACGATGGTCAACCCTGTCAAATGTCGTGGACTGATCCGAATTGATCAGCACGGGTTGATCGTTGTCTTTTACACCCTCTATGATCGTGCGGATCGGATGCATGTTGCTCTGAATTGTTCGACTCTTCACAGCACAAGTCTGCTCAGATCCCAACAGAGTCTCGGCAACTGACTGAAAACTCTCCGTCAGGATCTTGGCCAAAATCTTTAACTCTGTGTTCAACAGAGTTATGGGCCTGGAGTCATCTAAATCCCTTGCCCCTTTTCAACAGCGTAATCACACCCCTAGAGTTCCGATCGGGGACGGACCCCTGGCGGAACCAGTTGTTGAACATGACTGTCAAAATCGGGACAAAGATGTGCGGCAGCCTCAAGTGCAATTCCTAGGGCAAACCATCCAGACCCGGCGACCTTCTTCAATGCCACGTAGACCTCGCCTCCGTGATCTCTTCCTCACAGCTAGCCGAGGAAAGTTAGCCAAATAGCTACGAAACTCCTCGTCGCGGGGATCAGGCTCCTTGGTAAACCGACTCTCAAAATGCCGCCGAAACGCTTCGCACATGTCGTCAGTCAACCTCAGAGTACGTCTCTCCAGGGTTTTGACCTCCCGAATATAGCGACTGGAACCTCGATGGATCTCTTCCTTCCACAACACTGCGCCTATGTTCACCGCTTCGGAAGACATTTTGCTTAACTTATACCTAATTACCTGACCCATGTAACGCTTGCTAGCCAAACGCTCCAGCCTCCATCCCAGAAACACTATCCTTAAGAGCCTTCACCTTGTTTGCCTTATCTAGCGCGGGCCGTTTGCTAAACTCGGTGGTGAAGGACCTAATCCTATCCTTAAGTCTATCCCACCACCTATTCCTGATATCGCCCTCACTATTTTCCGCTGCACTATATTAGCTTTTTACTGGAATTCCCGCCTGCCCAATAAAGACATATTGAACTTCCAGTAGCCAGCCATTCTAGGCCTACCATCTAACGCCACTTGGGTATAAACAAGTTTGTGGTCCGAATAGCCTAATTAGTGGAACGTGAGACAATCTAATAAATCTACATCGGCCCTTCTAGCTAAAATTCTATCCATGTAGCTAGCCACCTGGGTAGACGGCCACTTAAGTGCCCACGTCCACATCTCCCCGCTCTGAGTGACCGACCTGGTATCTATTGACGAGACCAAACTTGCCGATCAGATCAACCAAGTTACGATCGTCCACCTTCCCGCTAGATCCCCGCCTCCTGTCTATCTTGGGCGTCCAGGACTGAATTCTATTCCCCCATTAAGACTAGGTACGTTGAACCCACCAGAACGGCCCCAACTGCCGAAAAAAAAAAACGAGACCCGCTCCTCCCGGTCGTTGGGCGCATAAACCGCAACGACTCGAAGCCAACGACTTTTCACAGCAATATTGGCCACGATCAACCGGCCCTCGGCATCCGTATGGAGAAGGTCCACCCTTGCATCCAGGGTACGTCTAACTGGTAAAGAAACCCTAATAAAATAACAATTAACGTATTCACATACCAGACGGAAAGCTGCGGCGGGAAAGATCCCGACGGATTGTCGCAGGCTCCCCGTACTCAAATCTGTCGTTATCTGACCATCTGGAACAACTGACGTCCGTAGAGTATATTAATTTAACTGCCCTATATAGCGAGGGATGGAATATTATGTGGACCCTCCCTGAATTACAAGGAATGTCCATTTTGAAGGAGAGAATCGTCTAATTGTGGCAAAAAATCGCCATAAGCGTTGCAGAAAATCCTAAAGTAAAAAAAGA